CCTTATATGAATGGAGAAGATACAATGCTTTCTCCTTAAGGTGGGGAACAAGGGCAGATATGCTTACTCTTTATCTGTGGGACACAGTTTATTGACAACAATCATCTTCAAAGCATACCATACACACTACTTAATAAGGATTATTTCGTTTAATCCTCAGCACAACTTTGGAGGTAAGGACCATTCTTTCTGAAATTCATAGAGAAAGAAATGAGGATAGGTGAGAAAATCCAGACAGAGTGAATAACTATGATTATTACTTTTCTTAATTATAAAATAATCCACATCTTAACAATTCTCTTAAAAGGTCGAGGTCTCAGAGCTAATGAGATGCAGAGGCAAGCTCCCTACACAGGTAGGCTGATCCCAGAGCACTGGGTCTTAATTGGCGCGCTTGTTTAATCTTTACGACATAAAGGGCTGGGCTAGATCATCCATGAGCCATCCCAGCTTTAAATGTACACGAATGTAATTGTCCCTGCAGGAGGATTACAGGGTGACAACTCTTTGAAAAACCAACTCCTGGCAATGAAAGAGGGAGAAAACCACAAAAAGTGGACTGTAGCATTAGTAATCAGGGTACAGACTCAAGAATTGCTTTTAGTTTACTATGGGCTCAACAGATCTAGGACTATTCAGATTTCTCATATTTACACATCAGACTCTAAATCATTAAAGCTGAATTAATTCATTGTAAATATTATATTCCCAAAGCAGAACAAACTAGTACCAGTTATTCTTGGTTCGGAAAAATTATGTTGTTTCTTTCTATGGATTAAAAAGTGATCACTTAACCTCTTTGAACTACAGCTCAAAGTCTCTCATGGAAATGTTTCAACCTAGTAACAATCATCTATATTTAAAGATACTTCAAGAAGTAGTGCCCATAGGAAGATGGAGATGAGCAAGAAAAATCTGCCAAGGAAGAGCAGACTTAGGGCATGGACAGCTGATCAGTGCTCGCTTTAGCATCTAGCTTTGGGGAGCTGCGACACCAAGGGGAAGGGAGGTCACACAGTCACTGATGCTGGTGACTCACTTAGGGAGGAAGCCACTGAGATGGGAGAACTCTGGGGATGAAAATTCTTCTGGTTAAGGTTTAGTGGCCTGGACACCCGGTCTCAAATAGGACAAAAAGTCAAGTCAGGAATTGGGAGGCCAGACTCAGAGAATTTAAAAAGTCAAACATCAACCCATCCATTTTGTTTGGAAGTCTTAAATATTGTAGAACAAATAATTACCAGTAGGATGGGGATGTGCCCGGAGCTGTAGAAACTATCTAGTTCATATACACTCCCTTAGAAGTGAGGAGGCAAGGTCACCAAAGGAGCCTACTCAGGTCCCACATGGCAAAGCCAAAGTCAGAAGTGTTTTCTTGGCACTTTAATAAAAATCCCAAATCTTCGATCCCCAGTACCAAAAAAAAAAAAAATCCCAAATTGATCAGTTTTTTAAAAGTATGCCAACTACAGAAACAGGGAGCCAGAACACGATGATTTTAACACTTGATAACTATTTTCACAGCAATGTGTGATGCGTCTAGGCCTGGAATGCCTTTAAATTACAAATGTGACTCAAAGTTAATATCCTGATCTCCTCCTGGTTTTAGTACAAAGCACAAGGTAGCTCTGTATTCAATCTGTCCCAAATCCCCAAGCCGCCTCTCACTCGCTCAGAGCTGGACCTTGTCTTCTCAGAGCGATGCGTGAGCAGCCTTCCAAGACACCCACACTCGGCGACTTCAAAAAATAACGCGCAGCAGCACGGGCCACCTGAGAGCGGTACAAAGCGCGCTGAGGAGGACAAGAACTTAATGAAACACCGGCTTTGCAAACAAGAACCCACCGACACAGTAGAAATGATCTGCCTCATTGTTCTCCGTGAACCAAGGGAAACACAACAGTTTAATGACCTTTTCCTCACCCGAGCGTCCTGGGGCTTCTAGCTGAGGCGCAGAACACCGCTGCGGCCACAAAGAGGGGGCTCGGGCATCCCCGCGGCCGCCGCCCCCTCCCTTGGCCCGGTGAAGTCGCTGCCCCCCGGGAGCTGCGGTTACTCCGAGACCCACCGGCCGGCCGCCAGCTCTCGACTCCCCCACTCACCCGCTAAAAACTGCTTCTCCGCGGAGCTGGGGCGCCAACGCGAGCGTCTGCAGTGGCAGCGAAGCCCCCGCTCGCCTATTCCACCGCGGGTCACTCGGTCCCGGGAACCTGGCGCACCACTGTTGGGGGGAGCACGGTGGCCGGCAGTGGGGTTCCCTTTCCCGACCGTTCCGTTGGAGTGGGGGTGGGGGTGACAGAAAGTCCTCGGAGAGGCAGCAAACCCTGCAGCGCTGTACTGAGCGGAGGGGCGGGGGCGCCGGGCGGGGTTCGGGGTTCCGGGCTCCCGGGGCCGCGGACAGCACCTGCGCCCGACCCCGATCCCCGGCGGCGCGGCGTTCCCCAGCACCCTCTGGCTGTGTCCAGAAGGAGCGCGAAGGGCACTCCGGGCCGGCGCCACGCTCCGCCCGCCCCCACCTGCTTATCTGAGGTCCCCGGGTGTCCCCGTCCCATCCCCGAAGGAGCCTGTGCGGCGCTTACCCGAGAGGGGCGGCTCCCGGGGCTGGCGGTCCAGCCGGCTGGGGAGGTGCGCTCCGCTCCTCGGTCTCCCCGCAGCGCGCTCGCTCGGCCCGACTTCCTCTTCCTCGCCGGCCCCGCCGTGTCCCCCTCGGCCGCGCCCGCCGCCCCTCCCCACGCCCCAGGGCCGGCTCCTTCGGCCGCGGGTCGTCCCGCCTACTCGGGCGCTTCGGGCCGACCAGGTGGGGAGGAGGGGGGCGGGGTGGCCCGAGAAAGAAAGAAAAAGATTAAGCCCTTGGCGTTGTCTCTGGAGCTGTGCCAAAGAGAGCAGTCAAATTACAGCCTCTGGGGGGAAGAGGTTTTTTTTGTTTTTTTAAAAATCTCTGCTACTGTTTTCGCAGACACATCACTTTTCTTCATTTTTCTGGGTCTTTCAGATGTAGCTTTCCCTTTGGATGTGATCATTTCCTACATGAATTCTTTAAAATAATAACTGATAGTTGCTTTAAATCAACATGCTAGTTTGACACAGAAGCTGTGGAATCCTAACAGGTAAAAAGTGCATCTCATGGTTTTTCAGGCATCAGTACTCTAATCGCTTCGGTTAAAGTACCAAACGACCTTTGCCTGGAGAAAGGAAAAGTGAAAAAGGAAGAAGGCAAAGAACAACCTTTGTGAAAGCCAGGGAGGTGTTTAAAGGCACCAGCCCTGCAGTAAAAGGATGACTTCAATTGAAAAGGTGCCTACAGGGTGAAATCATTTCTTGACACCGCCAAGCTGACATATCAGGTTTGTATGGTTTCCGTTCGGTTTAGTCATCTATACCAATGCACTCTGTTTACACACCTTCAGCTTAGCAGTTCCTAATGTGTGGCCTTGAGTGAATTATTTCACGCCTCTGCCTCATTCCCTTCACCTGTAAAATGGGGGTGGGAATGGTTCTGCCTACCTCAGAGAGTTCCTGTGTGTGATTGAAATAAGATAATGTGCTTGAAAGGCTAGGAAACTGTGCAACACCTAATAAAGCCTGGATAAATGTTAACCATGATTGTTTTTAAATTTCCCCTTTTATTTGTCTTTATGCGTGTACATAGTTGTGGAAATTGTAACAAAGATTTGAAACAAAACAAGGTTTTGCAGTAAGGCCAGACAGTGTCACAGTTCTTTCCACTACGCGGTGGAGTTTGTGTTCTGTTCTACAATTTATCTGAGTTTCCAGAACTGACTTGTAGTATGTAAAATATGGGCCTGGGTTATTCTTTTTTTGTGTGTGGTACCGAGGATTGAACTCAGGACCTTACTCTTGCAAGGCAGGCACGGTGCCACTGAGCTAAATCCCTGGTCACTGAATTATTCTTTTTTTTTGGAATCAAACTCAGGACTTTGTCCTTGCAAGGTAGACGCCAGAACCACTGAGCTAAATCCCCGGCCCAGGGTTATTCTAGAAATGCATTTGCAATGGTAGATTTGCAATGGGACTAAAGCAGATTTTTGCTGTCCTCAAAGTACCACCATAGTTGGTCTTTCCGTAACTGTCAGGTGACAGGACAGGTGTTAGCTTCCTTAACCATGACCTTTCCAGGTTTCTGGAGGTTACACAAAACCACTTGTGCCACCTCCTCTCTGTGCTCAAAAATGGACAATAGCACCTCACCCCTGTACAGTGTGTTTTGTGGAATAGTACAGTAGCTGCCCTTACCCACAGTTTTACTCTCCATAGTTTCTGTTCCTGGAGGTCAACAACAGTCTGAAAATATTAAATGGAAAATTTTAGACATAAATAATTCATACGTTTTAAATTGCACACCATTCTCAGTAGCATGATGAAATCTCTTGCTATCCTGCCCCTTGGGATGTGAATTTTTCCTCTGTCCATCGTATCCCTGTTGTATGCACTACCCACCCATTAGTCATTAGAACCGTCTTGCCTTTGAGAGTGTCTGTTGCAGTGTTGCAGTGTTCAGCTTGTGTTCAAGTAACCTGTATTTTATTTAATAATGGTCCCAAACAGCAAGGGGAGTGATTCTGGCAATTTCATTGTGGTACATTGATATAGTTGTTCTGTTTTATTTTTCATTAGTATTGTTCTTTTACTGTGCCTAGTTTATAAATTAATCATAGTTTAATTTCATAGTTATGTACATCCAAAAAAAAGTAGAGTATACTTAGGGCTTGGTACTAGCCACAGTTTCAGGCATCCCCTGGGGTTTTGGAACATATCCTTGAGGATAAGAGGGGCAGCTGTTACATTTATGATCTGGGTCATAAATAAGTGCTAACCCTTACTTGATGCTCAAAGGACCTAGAATTTAAAGAAGCTACTTGATGAGTGTGTGTGTGACTAGGGAAGGGAGCTGAGGCACCTTGGAAAGGAAGTGAAGATATGTGGGGTTTCCTGGTCTCTACCACAGGGCAGCTTAGAATGAAACTGTGGGACAACTGATCCGGTGAGAAGACTGAGCCTGCGGCAGGCTCAGCCGTCTGCCAGCTGCTCCCTTGGACAGATGACAGTTCTAACCATGGTGCCTTATCTGTAGAATGGTCATAGTATTTCCTTCCCAGTCCACTTCTCTTCTGCTACCTCAGTTTAGTAATGAGGTGCAGGATGGGAAGTGGAAACAAGACCAGAAACTCTTTTGTTACTGTGTGCCAAGTATGCACCAGGCATCTATCATCATTCCTGGTTCCTAAATACATGCATGCTGCCCTCCGAATCACTAGAATGGTCTTCTTGGAATCACCTGGCCTGACTGCTGAGGGTCTAGTTTATCTGTGTGCATAGCACTTAATTCAATTCCTAATGCATAGTAGATGCCTAATGCAACATGATTAGAAGATATGTTGCCATTTCTCGCCTCTCAAAATACTCCCCCTTGCTTTGAATATACTCATTCCATCATTCTTGCTGCTTTCTGAAGCAGTTCTGGAAGTCTACTTTCCTGAGTATCTTTAGCTGCACTGTTCTAGCTGCCTTGATGTCCTTAATTGATTCAAAATGTTTAACTTTCATGGTAATTTTGAATTTGGGGAGTCACCAGAAGACCTACAGGGCCAGATCCAGTGAATAAGGTGGATGAGGACACAATGTAACATTTTTACCAGCCTGCCTTTCTGTTAGATGCCACTCAGCAACAGCGTTCACAGTGTTTTTGATCACACCTCATGAAGACTGTCACAAAAGAGAATGTCCAGAACTGCTTCAGAAAAGCAGCAAGAACAGTGTATGATTGTTTGAAACAAGGGGAAGATTTTGAGGGGGATTAATGGCAATGTCACCTTTATTGTAACAATTTTTAAAATTTAGATATTCACCTTATACCTTATACTGAGTGGATGGAAGGACAAGGTAGGGATTGTGACATGCTATTATGTAGCACTCCAGGTTAGTGACATGCTACTCTCACTCTCAAAGGAGAAGAATCCAGTGGAAAGGCTTTCTAAGGGCACATCCAGTATTAGGAAAATTCTTTTGGTGAGGAGTCTTCCTAACATTCTTGTTTATCAGTCAAAGTCAAAAGAGGAAAAGGGAAGCCACTTAAAATACTTATAAAAGAAGGATTTTAAGCTGAGAATTGACTCTAAATGTGATGGGAGAACCAAGAAACCACAAGGAGACAGTGAGGCAGCCCAGAAATTAACAGCAGGAGGAAGCCACCACCAGCCCTAGACTGGAGGGGCAGGCAGGGGCAGTGTGTGAAAGGTGGGAGCTGTGTGTTGGAGTTGGAGAGAGAGCCACTGCCACAGACTCTGGCAGAGAAGAGGAGAAATACCCTGGCTTCTGCCTTTCTTCACGGGAATGCCCTCCACTGTTTGAAGCTGGCATAGAAACTTGGAAGACAACTGTAGCCATCCCATCCCACCCCATCTCTCTCTCTCCAACTCTGATACTGAACAGGAAAGGGCCAAGAAGGGCCTAAGGTAACAGGCCCAGGCCTGGCTTATTTCTAAAATCATGCCTTTTTCTTGCTCAAAGAAGATTTGGTCTACCAATTAGATGTCTGCTGAAAATTTTTTTTTGATATTGTTGAATGTCTCCTGTACCATCTTATTTACTCCTCAGATAGACTCAGAAAGGTAGACACTATAATCCATGAGGGCAGAGAGACTTGGGAGAGTTCAGCGATGGCCTCAAGGCCTCACAGGTATGCAGGGCAGAGCAGCATCCAAGCAGAACTCTGCATTTCAGTTCCTATGGCCTCCCTCTAACTCAGCTGTTCCTAATGAAAGGCTGCACAATAGCCTGGTTATTTGTAGCATCTCACCTGAGGAGCACCAATCCATGTACACATAGGAATCGATGTTTGCAAAGCTTACAGAGTTTAATGGCTCTATCATACCCTGCTTTAACTTTATGGCTTATGGTGATAACTTTTATGATGTTGGTGATTGTACTGAATTTATGATTATACAAGATCAGAAAAATAGTGTCTACTGGATTATAGCAGCCCCTTATAAAAAAACTGGTAGCATTGATTTATTTATCTTTTTTTAAAGAAAGCTATTTTAATTTCAAATTTGGACTTGTGAGCCTTACCAAACACCTCTAGACTAACCTGGCCATGCTAGAGAGTAGAGTAAGAGAAGGGCCTTGTAGTCTCATGTAGGGAAGGAACACAGACAACCAAGGATGTGCCCAAGTGTGTGTAAGAAGGTACCTGTCTTCAAGGATAACCAGGGGTGACTATCAGAGTCTGCACTGGGGCTGATGATCCTTTCTTTCAAGCCTTTAATGTAAAAGATTTTTAAAATTAGGAAGCTGCACTAACCCCAAAGAGTAAAGATAAAATAAAAAATGTTCATAATTATTAATATGTAGCTGAATTGAACCTAAAAGGAGGTAGAGGAATTTGAAGCCATCTAGAAATCTTCATATGACTGAATTATCTTCACTGCTGGCCTGCAATAAGAGTACCTAATCCTCCATCACTACTAACCCAGTGGGTAAAGGCCTGAGCTCAAGGCAAGGGCAAATTAATCACCTATCAAGCATAATATGGTGAAGCATTATTTTGCACATTATCAGATCAGTAGTGAGTCTACCAGATTTTCTTAAGTGCAATTCCCTGATAGAAAAAGAGGCCAACACACAGGAAAAGAGTACCAGATGTCAGCCAGGGCAAGAAAAAAGAAAGAGGCACTATATTAGCCAACTTTTCAGCACTGTGACCAAATACCTGAGGAAAGTAACTTAAGAAAACATTTTGGCTCATGGTTCCAGGGATATCAATCCAGGGTCAGGCTGGGTCCAAGGCACAAATATCATGGCAGAAGGGCATGGTGGAGAAAAGCTGCTCACCTCTCGCATGGCAGCCAAGAAGTAGAGACGGTGTAAGAGAGGCAGAGAGAAAGGAAGGGGCTAGGGACAGGACTTAGCTTTCTCAGACATACCCTCAGTAACCTACTTCCTCCAATACAGCACCCCTCTTCATGGCTCATTCATCAGTAAACTTACCAATTGATTAATCAGTTGATGAGGACAGTGCCATCATGATTCACTCACCTCTGCAGGCCTTACCTCTAAACATTGCTGCATTGGGGATCAAGCCCTAAATACATGAGTCTTTGGGGGACACTTCATATGTAAACAATAATAGACATCGAGAGATGCAAAAAAGGACAATGGCAATATGTCCAGATCATGTAGGTGTGTGGGAATAAGGAGTTAAAATGGCTTGTGGTCAATATCGTTATCCTACCTACTCCTCTAATGGCCTGCCTTGATTTTGACCAATATAGTGAAAGAAGATGTGTATGTAATGTTCTTTACAAATATTGATATTTGTGGGAAAAGAATCTGAAACTTGAAACTTTTAAGCTTAGGGTCAATACATCTTGAGGATGTAAACAAAATACAATATTATACAGATAGCCTGAATAACTTTGTAACAGAAAACATCCTTAATCCTATTATGCTGAAATAAAGCAAGGCTGGACCGTTCATAATTTTTTTCTTTCTTTCTTTCTTGTTTTTTTTTTTTTTTGAGGCTGTGAGGATTAAATCCAGGACCCGGTACATGCTAGGCAAGCACTTTTCCCTGGAGCTACATTGCCAGCCTGACTCTATACTTTCGCTTCACAATTATGTTTTTCTTCAAATTGTTAACATATACATACATGTGGAAGTTTTATAAACTTAGAATAATTTTTAAGTTGTTTTCCTTATCAGGTATGTTGAAGAAAGGAACTAATTCCAACTTTATTTCTCAAAAATAATTGCATTCAGAAATTCTCAACAGGGACAGTACTCCATCCTTGAGAGTCACTTGGAAACGTGAGTTTGGGGGTTGTTTTGGTTGTCACTATGGAAGTGGGGGATCTACTGCTATTTAATGGTGGGGCATTGGTGTCCCTCAGCTTTCTCCACTGTTGGGAGAATCTACACAACAAAGAGATGTCTCATCCTAAACACTAATGGGATCCCCTAAGAGCATACTGTAGGCAGTCCCTCTAAACGGGGCATCTCAAATTTAAATGGTCTCAGAGGCCAGGCCAGTAAAAACTGTGTTTAACAGTTCAGAGTTGTCAGGGTGCGGTGCACACTTGAAAGCATATGAATTCAAATGTCCTTAAACAGTATTTTGACCAAACAAGAACATCCCCTTAGGATCTCCAGTGCTCCTTCTCATTCACTCCCAACTGCTTTTGGTTAACTTTTCAGATGAAAACCAGCATCCCTTTCCTCCTCCCCTTTTTCTTCTTTCTTATAAACATACAGTCAACCAGGTAGCAAAGGTTGATGAAAAGCGCTTCACCCCTCCCCTAAGAATTCAATGCCATGGATGGCAGAATTAAAATAATAAAATCAGTGGGGGAGCCAGGCCTGCCAGTACACACCTGTAATCCTAGCACTCTGCGCTGCTGAGGCAGGATTGCAAGTGTGAGCCCAATTTATCAACTTAGTGACACCCTGTCACAAAATAAAAAATAAAAAGGGCTGGGGAGGCAGCTCATCCCTAGAACTGCAGCGGGGGAAAAAGAGTAAGGGGAAAACAAGACTATTTTACCCATAAAAAATTTAGGGTTCTACATAATAAATTCATAGCAGAGGTCTCAAGCATGCTCCCTCATTCTTCTGTATCTCTACTCTTTTCCACTGTGGAAGGTAGAAAACAAATATTTAGAGAGAAGTTGGTGGATAACGATCATGACTGCTTTACTTTATCATGACTTACTCCATCCCAGCTCTGCATTAAGGGCCCTGTGTACATTATCTTAGTAATCCTCACAACGGAGGACATTTCCTCTGTTTTACAAGAGAAAGAGAGGCTTTAGAAAGGTCAGGTAAAGGTATTTTTTAAAAATGTTTTTACTTTTAATTGGCAGATAGTAGTAACACATATTAATAGGGTACTATGACATTTCAAACGTGTCCAATGGGCAATGGTCAGATCAGGGCAATTGGCATAACCATCACTTCTGACATCTGTCATTTCTTTGTGTTAGGAACATTCCAAATCCTCTCTTGCGGCTATTTTGAAATATTCATCGGTAAGCCACAGTTGTCATACTGTGCTATACAGCATTAGAAATTATTCCCCTAGCCATCTGTACTACCTTGGACACAGTAACCATCCCCTCCCTCCTAACCCTCTCTTACTTGCGTCTTGGACTTTGATAGCCGTTATGCTATTTGCCATGACCAAGGTTTCAAAATTAATAAGGAGCAGTGCAGGGATTTGGAACCAGATCTATTGTCTCCCAAACGATCCTCATAAATGCCATGTCCTGCTGAGGTTTTTCAGTACACTGTGACTCTTTTTTTTGAGACAAGGTGTCACTATGTTGCCCAGGCAGACCTTGAACTTGTAACAATCCTCCTGCCTCAGCGTCCCAAGTGCTGAGATTACAAGCATGTTCTAGCACACCAGGCGTAGTATACAATAACCTTCTACAGGCTGTGAGAGAAAGATATGATGAATGTTTAAATGTTTTCTTTAAAACACATTGCCAAAAGACACATTGCCATTAATGCCCCTCAAGATACCACCCTCATTTGAAGTCCATCGTTCCTGCCACTCTGAAGCAGTTCTGGAAGTGCTCTGAAAGTGTCTTAAGTTGCACTATTGTAGCCACTTTGACGCCCTGAATCAATTCAAAATGTTTATGTTTCATGGTCATTTTAACTTTGGGGAAAAGCCAGAAGTTGCATAGTGCCAGATCTGGTGAATAAGGTGAATGAGAACACAGCGTAATGTTTTTACAAGACTACCTTTCTATTGGATAGCACCTGGCAGCAGCATTCACCATATTTCTGATTGTACCCTCTAAAGATAGTCAGGAAAGTTGCAACAATGATAGGATAAGTGTGTTCCAAGCAAAGGGAAATATTTTGAAGGGAATCAATGGCAATGTGTCTTTTACTGTAAATTTTTACAAAAACAATTTAGACATTCACTCTATTTTTCACCTCACAGGCAAATCAACCATCTTCATCTCTCCATCTTGGTCACCATCTTTTATGGCTGCAGGACCATAGCTTATGGAAAAATGCACACACATGCTCTGCGAAGAAAAGAAGGTACTCTACAGAGTCCACCATTTCTCACCCTCAATCCTAAAATCCAATGATCCTGCAAATGGGAAGTTTTTTAAAAAAATAGCTGTGGCAAAGCCTTCCCTGACCTCAGCTCATTTGGCAATAAACCTTCACCTACAGTGGTTGGAGACTTCTATGGTTTGGATAAATGCACCTAAAGGTCCTGGTCCTCAGGCCCTGGTGCAACTGAGAGGAGGTGGAACCTTTAATGGTGGGAGCCAGTGGGAGATCTTTATGTCATTGGGGGCATTCCCTTAAAAAGGGGTTGGGGGTATCCTCATCTATTCCTCTTCCTCTCTCTTTTGCTTCCGGGTCATGAGTTGAGCAGTATTGTTCCACCAAATACTCCCACCGTAATGCACTGCCACAGGCCTAAAGCACCAGGGTCAACCTATCGTGGATTGAAAACTCTAGAACTATGAAACAAAATAAACTTCTCTTTATATGGTTATTATATCAGGTATTTTTATAGTGACAGAGTGCTGACTAACACAGAATCTATTTATCATTTCTCACAAAAATCCTATTTAGTGTGAATTTCCATTCATTTAACTGCAGAAGTATGAAGGTGTTTGTTTTGGAGGTGCAGCCTCAGACTTCTGAAGGACTATTGTGTAATATATGGTATGCATAGTGTTTGCCTTTCTAAAATTCCCCTTCAGAAAATATCTTGCATTAGGGATTGTTAATCTGAAGTTTGAAAAGGTACACTTTATATTGGGTAGATATTATTAAAAGTACATTTTGTTAACGGTAAGAAGCAGCGATATGTTTGTGCTGGTTTATACCAATTTTCACAATCTGGTTGATAAAATTTCAGGAATTTTGTGGGTCAGTTGACATCATAACCATAGTTTGAAATCAGCTATGGTGAGATATTTACACCACAGAAGTTGGCAAAGACTCCAAAGCAGGGCCTTCTGTCCTACCCCCACAGAGCTGGTTGCTGAATGTTTACTAGCACATCACTGGAAGAGGGATGAGGTAAAAAAGAAGAAAAAGGTCACACCGTGAGCTCTTCCCATCTCTCCCTTCCCAGCAAATGGGAAGGCCAGGTCATCTGCCAGCTGGTGCTAAGGGAAGGACTAGGTCAGAAAAAGAGAAAATGTCCCTTGGTTTCACTGACAAGCAAAACCACTCTCCACAGACACTTTTTATCTTTTGTCCTGAGGATGAGTTTGAGATGTTTGGAACAAGAGTTCTTGGTGCAGGAAACTAAGGCCTAGAGAGTTTAGGAAGTGTGGCTGAAGTTTTATAACTAACACAGAGCAGCGGCAGCATTTGGAGGTAAAGGGAATAAGACACTTTCAGTTTGAGGAACATTTTACTTATGTGGCCATAAAAGTAGGTCCTATGGCATTGTGTCGAATGTCCAGCCAAGTCCCCTCCTGGGAATGGGGTGCTGCAGAATGATAACTCTGCCATGATGGCCACGATCCCAGTTTTATGAGAGTTATGATGGAGAAGTGAATTTCTTCCTCTCCTCTCTCTCTTCCTCTTTTGCAGAAAAACATGAAAAACAGTGAGATTAAAGTATTACTGTACAAAGGTAGCCCACCAAAGGCAACTGGAACCCAGTCTCTCTGGAATGCTGGCCAGAGGCAGAGTAAAGGACCAGCAACTGTGGTCCCCTCCCATGGTCTAGCCACAGGGATTTCTTGGCACCCACCTTTCCCACTCAACCCAGACAAGATGTTTGGACTCATTTGTCAGTTGTTTGGCAGGGGTTAAGGGGAAACCACACGGGGAGAGGGCCTAGGTGTATATGAACTAGTACACATTTGGAGGGAAACAGGTTTTCAGCTCCCAGGAGCCCTCCTCCTTGTATATGGCTGCCTTCAAAAGAAATTTTGAGTTATCTAGTTCTGCGGTCTTCTCCTCATCTTTAGCCTGCAATCTGTGAGGAAAGAAGTTTATATTCAAGATCTAATTGGACACATTGTAGAAAGGAATGAAAAAGGACTGAGTCATTATGGGGGAAAAGTGATCAACAGAAAGGGGAAAGCCCTGTGATCATCTTTATTCATTAACAGAGTAAAAGGCTCTTCGCGACTGTAAATTGACAGTGCTCTTTCAAGCCCGACATCATCTTAGTAATAATTATCTAGGAACATCACTAAGGTCTCTGTGACAACACTTTAGAAGCAGCTGGCAGACTTGGAGACTTGAGATATTCTGTACACTATTATGCCTTTTCCCCCATTTCCATTTTAAAAGGAGAAAGACTATATTTCATGAAAAATAAAATACCCCAAAGCAAAATCTCTAGATGGAAAGTTTCCAATGAAACTAGACTTTAAATGTTATTCTTGCATCAACTGTAAAATGTAGTTTACAATTTTTAGAATGAGAAATGAAATGATTTAGAACTGGGTTTGCACATTAGATATTGAACACGTTAAAACATGAACTTTAAAATATAGTTTAATGCTGTTCAACTCAGTAAGACAAATGCAAACTTTTTTAAAAAATGAAATTATAAAAAAAATGGAAACCTCATTTTGGATGAAGAAATACTGACTTTGAAAATTTGAAGACCTGAAATTTAAACAGAGTTTAATGATGAAAGAAGTGGTTATCAACAGACTTTTAAAGCTCAGTCTTGGAAGAACAGTGTGATGATATGGGGGATAGAGATGAGCAATGGAGAAAGCTGAAATTTCTACTTTGTCTTTGGAGGTCCTTGAAGTGTGAACTGGGGTGACATCATTCCATCATTCCCCAATAAACTTTCCACATGTTAACAAGATCAAACTTTCTGATTAGCTAAATTACGGGAGCTGAATTTTTATAATAAATAACAATTCATGATATAATATCTCAAATTCATCTTTCTTCCAAATTCCTTTGTTACTAAACCCAGAAAAACTTTATTCACTAGCTTTAGCACCTAGACTCTATAAATATACATTAGGCTTTTTTTTTTATTCTGGTCCTGGGGATTGAACTCAGGACCTTGCACTTGCTAGGCAGGCATGGCTCCACATCCTGGGCCCTATATACATTATCTTGAATAAACTTAATTATTAAGACTAAGTGAAATATTTTTAATATGTATTAATTTATTTCCTCAAAAAAAAGAAAATATAAATTGCATTTGACCAAGCTATTCCCCTTCTAGGTATTTTCCTATAAGAGTTAAAGACATCATATTACAGCTATACATGCATATCTATGTTTATAGCAACACAACTCATAATAGCCAAATTTCAGACAACAGATGAATAAAGAAAATGTGACATTTATACAATGGAGTTCTAGTCTGGCATAAAGAAGGATAATTTTGAGCTATTTGTAAGAAAATCGATATACTTTGAGACCATAATGTTAAGTGAAATAAATCAGACACACAAGCTTAAATATTGCATAGTTTCTCCAAAGTCTTTGCAGATACGGAGGGGTGGAGGGGTTGAAGGGAGGGCAGGGGAATGGGGAAAAAATAAGAACCAAGATGGATTATGTAAAGGTGCAGATTTCCAATGATGAATG